TTGGGAGAGCGTTAGACTGAAGACCTAAAGGTCCCTGGTTCGATCCCGGGTCACGGCATGGCCCACTTTTCCAGGGCACGAGAGTGTCCGCAGGCTTTGGGGTATGCGATAAACTTACCTGCACGTGGTGCACCCTGGGCAACGTATACTCATACGCCTAAAAAGTCTATTAACCGGCAGTTGACCTCTCACTTCAAACTACCATGGCCCGACTGCTTGTCATATTCGACTTCTTTCACAGTACTCATCTTACCTTTTTCTCTACCTTTGTGTCTGTCTGCCTCTTTTACATCTGTGAATCGCTCTTCTAATCCCCACCCCTCGACTTTCTATTACTTTGATTAACCTTCCTTCCAATCTCGACTTTTTGCCATTTTGATGTTCCTCCTCCTCTCTATGAAGCCCGAAGTCAGCTAAATGGCTATGATAGCTATCATAACGCCTGCCATTTGAAATAAATAAATCATGATCAGGATGGCGGATTAGGTCAAACAAACAGAGGCTAGTGGTCACTGTTTGTACTGTCGCTGCACACAGAGTTGTACGGCCTCACCTCCCAATCCTGACGTGCAGGAATGCGATGACGTGTCCCACAATGCTTCACACTACTTAACAAAACGATTCCTATTGACATGGTTCCCTAAGAGGGTTAGATATAGTACTGATTCGAAATTTTATCTTTCTCATAGAAAAAATAATCATCGATCTTGTTAATAACGTCTAAATCTTGATTTTACTATTTTATTTGTCGTTTACGAATGAGAAAGTGCACGTTTTCGAATTATTCGGTTACGAAAGCAGGATTGGCCGAAATTTATCAAACCATTAGAACCACAGATCGCCATGTTTAATACTAAACTCTAAAGAGGGGATTGGTATGCGTCAATTTTGCGTTAAGATAATGTCCAAAAATTTCTTCACCTTGTGTCATAATTAGAATGACTCTTTCTGGGCCGGTAACAGAGGACAAAAATATTCGCCGTTTCAAGACGCTATTTTCATTGGTAAATAGGTACATTGGGTTATCAAAAGATTAGTATACATGGAAATCAAATTATTTCCCGACTAGTTAATAACTGAATGACGAACGTACTTTATCTTGTACATGAGGATTGAAGGCGAGTAGTTGAAAAACTCAGCTTTCAAGGGACGATTTCTGTTTTCGCAATTTTAATGCATTCACTTCAGGCTATGGTGAATATTGAAATGTCTTTCTTATCATTTAGTTCTAGTGTGGAGTCAGAAAGATTTTCTGATAGACGTAGAATTTACCGTAAACTTTCCTGACTGGATTAGTGTATTAAATAACATTTTAAGCAATCAAAAGCAGTAAGAAACTGTGCGATCTCGAAATTTGTTTAACAGTTATCATTCATGAACGATACATTAGTTGGGGTTGTGTATCCGAGGAGTTAACACCCAGTTGAACTAGAGATCAGGTGGTTAAGAATTAAGTAGTTGTTTAAAAGCACCCATAATGTACAGTTACGGCGCCATAATAGTAGGTTTCAAACTACAATTCATTTTAAAAAATTTTTGAGATAACGCCATTTCATCTGAAATTTATTACGCACAGATTAAGGAGAAGGGGGCATATGCTGAGATTTATCAATTCACGATGATTTAGTGAACAATATTAGGGTGTGATGTTGACAGAACGTTAAAATGCTTGACGGTAAAGTCATGTCAAACCCTTCTAGAAAGCTGGTGGATCTTCTACATTCCTTTGAATTAGTTGCAACGTCATTAGTCCTGGCAGGAAACACTGGAAGGCTCCCAAGATTGAGATACGACGCATAGCTTCTTGTTTACCAACAGAAACCCACTAGGATGCGCTTCTAGGCAGTTGATAGGACAAGTCAGCTAGGGAACCAAATCGATATTGAAGTACATAGTGCAATCTCATTACCTCTAAAGACGGGGCTTTTCTAAAACAACTCGGCTTTTAGAATTAAGAAATGTTAACCAGGTTTAAGTAGTCAATACGTTTTCTTTAACATGAGGTATGCTTGTTAAATAAGCAAATCGTTGTTGTGTGATTCAAATTAGTCTTCCACCATTTTGGCTAATCTAACGCCACCAAAGTTAATAGAAGAACTTCAAGTGTACTCTGACAGTTTGGGTAGTGTGGCCGTGATACTGATCCTGTGTAGAGCAAGTGGGGTCATGAGTGAAGACTTGAAGTCAGTTATCAATCAATAGACGCTGCAACTTGGCTTATGTAAAACTCAAGGAAGCGGATTCTAAGATGAATTCTCATGCAAATAATAGTGAACCGCACATTTTTATCAACTCCTGCCAAAGAAATTTCATTACCACTAGAATATTCCCGAAAGCGCGGTGTGTGTGTGTGCAAAAACGTCTCAGAAAATTAGCAATTGAGTTTATGTACCATAGAATAACATTGATTGTATTTAATGACCAAGCAAGCTGGTAGTTTTCCAGAGTTTTTCAGTTTATATGTTCTGTGTTACTGTTATTTAAGAGCAAATTTATGCTAAACGTTTCTAAGAGAAAGCAGTGTTAAGGTTTCATCTCTGTTTTTTTTGTTAATAACCGAGGCATAATTATATACAAAATAAATTTCTTGCAAAGTCTAATATTCTTTTGTTTTTTCCCATATTTAGTTCTTGTATCAAATGTTCAATGACTTACCTATTTGATTGTAAGGTTTTATGTTGATTAAGACTTGATCCATCAAAAGTAAATTGAAACGTTTGAATGCTAAGGAAGATGGGTGTAATTTTTCATATATTTATATTCATGGCTAAACAAAGAAATCTCATGCTCACTCTGACAGATTCAATGGCGTGGCCTTGCCACCTGCCGTATAGGGGCGTAAGCAGAGACCTCTCAGTCAGCATTGCTTAACAAGCCCTTCATTGTTTCCTGTTTGTACAACGTATCTTATTATTAGTGTTAGTGCGAATCATCCTGGTACGGGTCATCCTCCCCTATGATTTCGGTAGGTTTCGATCTTCATTCATTCTCGTAGTTGTCACGTATGTAAGTGAGGAATGGTTTAAACCTGGAGAGAAAGCGTAGTTTGGTTAAACAGCACGGTGCATTTGGAAAACGTAAGCAAATATTGATCAGCAAAATTACTCAAGAACATCAATATATATATCAATAGTAATTGGTGCCTTTAAAACCAAGCTGTGACGGCATAGTCAAATGAAACTTTGGACCTAGTCAACTACGTCAACTACAACGAATGGTACGTTTAGCAACTTTATGTGTGTATAGAAATCTCTGGAAGAGGTTGTACAATAGAGTGATTATGGAATAGAGGAAGGTAATGGGGATTTCAAAGTTCAGGAAAGCTAACAAATATAAAGCGAAAAAAATCAACGTGGAAAGTGGTAGTTACATAGGTTGAAGTGAAATTTTTGTGTAAATCGAATTATGAAGGATGATAATAAATTCATTCAAAGTTTGTCAAATTACAATCAGAACATATCTATTTTTTGAGGGAACATAATCTTAATCTGACATAGGTTTTAAAAGTTATCGAGAGTAGAATTACATTCACATTTCAAGTTCCATTAGAGACTGTGTAAACTGGTTGAATTACGGATTTCATTAGTGAAAAATCCTGTTTGGAACACTAGCTGGCAAGGCTGAACGAAAAATTCCTTGTCCTCTCAGATATTCAGAAACACGCAGAGGTGTTGCTGATCGCACTTGAGAGCAAATGCGGTCGCGAATGCAACGATCTCTTGTCCAGTCAAGAATTCATAGTCTTCACTGAGTTTTCATACCCAAGCATTTCTTAATGATCAAGCTTCAAGTCAACATCACATGCAATTCAGCAGACAGCCTAACTAAATTTTTGTCCATCATACGCCTGCTCCTTCATATCTTTGAGGTAAGGCTATTAACAATGGGAGCCATCTCTAAATTGAAGATTTTGCCTAAAAGATCAATATGCCTTAGGCAAGGCTTATTAGTGTAGAAATCCAACAAACCATCATTTAAAATAAAAATTACACGAAAGAAGAAAGTTCTCTTAAGAAGATTAATGAGAAAGTTCTGCGATTTAAATTGATTGCACAACCTCACACGCAAAATACTTCTCGAAATTTGCATTCATATAATGGCAGTAACAGTAATATCTTCTTAGATCAGAAGACCATTTTGAAATGATATAACTCAAGGTGTTATATTCTATATTTACCGAAACCAAACTTCAATGAAATAATTTAAAATTAAATTTATCCACAATTTTAGGCGGAATTGATATATGGCTCATAGTAAATAAGTGCAGTTTAGAAAAAATTTCATACAATTAAAATTTATCCACGTGAATGTAATAGAACAAAATTTTTATTATTTTTTTATACACAATTAGTGGTTATTTAATTTATACTCTATTAAACAGTCTTTATAGTTTAAAGTTTCATCAAAGCACGCTCCCTCCTTGAATAACTTGGTCAGCATCTGGTGATGATTAGAGGAGAATGTCTGTCCTCCTCTATCGCTCAGATAGACTATCTGGTGTCATTAATGAATGACAAGAATAACTCAGCAGCTTACGCAGAAATTAACCAGGTATGATGGTAATAGTGACTAAAATGTCAATTATTATCTAAAATTCATAAATGACTTTGTTACCTTTTGCTTGCAAGCTAATTCTAATATACTTATATGCATTTAATGTAACTATTTGGATTAGCTTGTCTTCAATGTTGTTGTGCCTGTCTTAAATCACATGAATAAATTATTAGTTTCAATTACCATATTTTATGTATTTTTCCTTTTAGATTCGTGCTCGAAATTCAAGCTCTTTTGAACACATTTTGTTGCGTTGTTTATTTTTGAATGTAGATTTTCATCGTTGTTGTGATAGCGAAAACTTTTCCAAAGATTCCTCCCAGGTTTGGAAAATTTGTTTAAGCACAATAAATCGTTACTTTCATTCTAGATATCCAACCTCATTAATGAGTTACACAAACTATGTGCCAAGCCAAATTTTAATTCGCTCTTTTGCTACGCTTTCAGATTTTTCCTTAAAAATGTGAAGGTATATAATAATTAATTTTAGACTATTCTTTAAAGGAAACTGGAACATCATCTCCTTCAAAAATTGCTTTAGTTTCGTTTCTTGAAAATTTAATCGAGGCTCTGCCTCATACCACTGGACTTTCTCTGGGTCTTTCACTCACTCGTTCAACTTTTGTTGAATTGCAACAATCGATTGCTATTTGGTTTCGTTCTAAACTCTCAATTTACTCAAATAATTGTAAGTGTGCAGAAATTTAGTTTTTTTTCAATTTCATTCTTCTTATTGTGGGGCCATCGCTTATCTTTTTTAGACAATGAGAGGGTATTGACAAAATTGGGAGCGGAATTGTTTTCCGATCTTGGTTCTGAACGTTTTCATTTCATGTTGGTTCAACTACGTTTGTCTTTCGATTCGGATCTTTCCTCTTTGAAACTTGTTGCAGCTTTGTACAAAGGTAATTTATGACTTCAATCTCCTCTTTTGACATATATTTCCAAAGTTTAATCCAAGGTAGGTAAACTATAACCTATCCTTAACGTATATTCGTATATATATGAATTGCTTGCTGACACGTTCATGCAGGTTGATTTAATGGCATGATTTATTATTGAGCATCTTTTTCTATATGGTTGTTATGGTCAATTTTAAAAATTTTCTCGTTTTATTATTTTATGGATTATGGATTTATGAATAATTTAAGTCCCATAACGTCAGTTAAAGTACATACCGTAAGCGAAATTTGGATTTGATGGTGTACTTCTTTCCACGTGAAGCTTATTGGAAGAAGTTCGGATTAAGATGTGACTAACCAAATATGTCTACGCAGCTTGATAAGTCCTATATGAACTTTCTTTTGAAGGTTATTGGATGGAGTTTAACGCCTAAAGTTTATTTTCTGGAATGACGGTCAGTATTTTTTTGAGTTTTCGCATCCATATATTTCACAAATCAATTATTTTCATTTTAATAGTAATGAGCACTCACTAATATGTAAATACAAGCTAGTTAGTTGGGAGATATTTTTTGACTTAGTTATGGAGAACTTAGATCTGCTAGAAGTTGCCTACGCTTCAGCTATGATAAAGTAGTTAAATGCTTGTACTTTTGTAACATCTTATTTGCCTGCAATGTTTGTTCTGTTATGAAATGCAGAAACAGATTGATGAGCTCCTGTTTCTAGTTCGTTATCAGTCAATCTGTAAAAACGTTTTTTTGTCTTCCTTAAATAGTTACAAATCCCATAATGGAATGTCTTTATCATTAATGGGATTGAGAGAAGGCTTCCTATTAGCTTCTTTGATGTGAATCTCGAATTCTATCAGCTTCTCCTATTGGATACAATTAACCAAATAATTCATTACGTGTCCATGGTCCTCGGCTCGTGGCCGCAAACCTTACATAAGTCCCTATCGACGTCCACTCAATTAAAGTTGCGTTGAAGTCATGTTGATCGGAATTAGCTAATGATATTAAATTTAGAGGGATCTTCATATTTCCTCTTTAAAAAAGGCTTTCACTAAAGGTGTTGATAAATTTCTTATTGATTGATTAGAAAGTTATTATTATTCCAAATGAATATCAATTAATAATCGTGGTTCTCTCCTTTTTAACCAGGAGCAAAGTCTGTAGCTACTTTGCCTATAACCATGACGCCTTTATCAAGTTCACCAGATTCTAATGAGGACGAGGGAAACCCCAGTTGCTATGAGGATTACTTTCTCATTTCTTCCACTTACCTGAAATCTTTCACGGGTTCATTGTCAAGCGAAGATGTTGGTCAGTCATCAATTGATTATCTCCTAGCTGATGCATTTGAAGATCTTGGTGGAATGTCGCTATCAACGTACGTTATCCACTTTTATCTCTATTTCTTTCTCGTAACTATAGTTAATGATCTTTATTCCATATCAGTTCTCAAGCTGCTAATGGTCTCTTCAGTCAATTTTATCCATCCGATGTTACCGCAAACTTTGTGGCCAAATGCCTCTGTGTAATGATCGGGCCAACCCCTGATGCCAAATCTTGTCTTACTTCTGAGCAGTTTATCCGCTTCCTTCGTTCGATTGGCAAGAACTTTCCTGAGAACGTTCCAGTGGAATCGACAGTTGGCGGATGGCCTGTAGATACTTTCCTCGACTGGGTACACCGAATGAACTTTGACCTCACCGCTTCTCAAGTAGTTTTTTATCCCTTCTACTTAATATATATAAGTAGATTGCATTGATTTGAGTATTTTCCTTTCTACTTAGGTTATCGAAGCCCTTGATTGCTCAAATTTTTACGTCTCTGATCACATAGGCCTTTCCGTATTGAAACGTTTCCTTGTCTATGAAACTCACAATCTACAAGAGGTACCCCTAGAGATGTTCTATCGTTCGTGGATAAATGTTGCAGGACAACTTTCGCTGTTTCAACAATGTGTCGCCAATCCAGATTTAATTGTTCTCCCTTTAAACACTTCTGTACATCATTTAAGTGGACTCAAATTGGCCGCCGGAGAGGAAAAAACACCAATGATACTAATTTGGTATAATATGTAATCTTATAAAACTTACGTTCTGTTTTCTAGGAAATGTCCAGATTTTGTTGCGGCCGTGCTTCGAATCTCTACGCTTGGATATTTTAACCAGGCCCGCATTCTTATAGAGGAAGGACTTAAATATTCTCCGGATATTGTCACGGCTACTTTGCTTTCAACTGTAAGCCAAGCCCTTCTTTTGTTACATGCTTTTGCGCAGAAATACTGGCTATACCCGTATTAGCTATTCTATTAAAGTTAATGGTTTTCCCCATATTAGGTTCGTTTTTAACTTTTTCAGTTAAGGTTTCTTTTAAAATCGGCGCATTGGTAGACGTGTGTATATATTATCTTGCTAGGGAACACAAGTTCGTTTCTTAACGATGGGCACGCATTGAACACAAAAGATAATCCCACTGGATCAATTTGAATCTCTCACTAGTAAGGTTCTGCAGTGCACTTTCCTAAAATTAACATTGCTAAACCCTTTCCTAAATTATCTTTAGAATTGCTATAGTCGTTATTGTAGATGGAAGGAGTTCAAAGTCTGTTGAAGAGAACTGCTTCCACCTGTTACCTAACTGTAATCAGTGAAGCTGTTCAGTCTCTTAAATGTATGCTACGGTGGCGTTGATTTCTTGAACAGCCTTCACATTTAAATTCGTGATATTTTAACATTTAGTCGACATAGCTACTATTTATCTATCCGTTCCCCATTTTCTGACTTGATCCTCTTGATAAATTTAAGTTCAAATTCAAGCGAACTTGTAGATTCTTCATGCAGTTTAAAATTCATTATATTCTATTGGCTATGTTTAAGATTTTATTACAAGCATATTAGGCCAAGCCCTTTATATATCACTATTTTTCCCATGATAGTATTCCACATCACTCGTTTTGTAGTTAAGTTACGTTAACTCTCTGAGAGCTTTTTATTCAAATTGCAGCCATAAGGACATCTTAAACGTTGTTTATGTCCCTCCAATACTTTGGGATTTTTGTAGCATTAAATATTATTACACCGTTTGGAGTAAATCACTGTTCTAATGCTATCTGTTGATTGTATTTCCTTTCAGTCTGGAATGGTTCCTTTGAAACTGAAGATGCTTGAAAAGGCCTTTTCTCGTCTTCTCTTGCCCCACACTAATTCACACGCAATTCTCCAGGCTGTGTGGACGGGTCCATCTGTATGTCACGCTGAAATGAATGGCTTGAAATTTTTAATTTTTTTATTTAATTTTACTTTTCGTTGTATTTAGAGCCATTTGACTGATTCTGAACGTAGATTACAACGCAGTCTCTTGTTGCATCAATGTATGAAGCTCATTGAGACATGGTGTGATGATACATCCCCCCCACTAACGAGTTCGAATTCTCCTCAAGATACCTTCTTCAATCTCTTGAGTGTTATCCTTCGTCTCCAAGGCGATCCCATAATCCCTATGGCCCTACTTCTGGGTTCTCGATCAAATCCCATATCCAAGGCTGTCTTCCAGATGTGGCCAATGCGCAACACTTCTGATGTCTCCTTCTTTAATACATTTGGCCTTTTTGAAATTGTCAACTGGCTATCAGTGAGAGCACGCCTGGACTTGGCTATCTCTCTTGTTGCCTATATGGTCGATGCCGTCAGCAATTTCTTTAATGACAGTGCCGAGCCATTCGGGCTACTTAACCAGTGTCCCAGACAAATATCCACATTACAGAATGCTCTCAGCGGTTTTCTTACTAATTGGTTTACGGAACAAATGTGTGTGCCAAGAGATGAAGCTGTAAGTATTTTGTCTTATTTGAGGAATATTATTTATTGCTTTTGTGCCGGTCGACCAATGTGCTTGCAAAGTTCGATTTTACTAATATGGTATTTATTGATGCACATTTGTGATCCAAGTAAGTGTGGGAAACTTGGGATGTAACTTTAGAAGAGGTTCAGGATGTTACTCCTTTCTACATTAAGGATGCTGCCAAAACCTTTCTTTTTAATGTTGTCAAGGGATTCCGCTCGCCAGATGTTCAGTTATAGCTCAAACAAGAGTTAACTTTATGGTTGTTCACTTTTCAAACTAGTACAATGTCATTATCGGGGTTCCCATCGGTGTAGAAATCTGTAGCACACAGTAACGTGTGTTACTCAACTAGTCAGCTGGATGTGTATATGATAACATTTTTTATTATTGTTTTTCAAATTTAAACTGGTCTACTAAACTGCAGGCCATTACGTTGTTTTATAAGTGATATTCCAGTCGAATTATGTCGTTTTTTTGCGAAAACTTGTTGCCTGTTCTCAATTAGCTTTGGTCTGTTAAGTTCGAAATTCTCCTTTTCTTATGTGATATATGAACTAAATACTTTGAAGAATCGGACAGACCTTTTTCACAGTTTACTTGAAAAAAATTAATTTATTTCACATGGCAGGCGTTTTGATAGTTATTATTAGCCATTTAGCTGACTTCGGGCTTCACAGAGAGGAGGAACATCAAAGTGACAAAAGGTCGAGAGGGGGGACAGAATAATGATTCACAGATGTAACAGAAACAGACAGACAAACACAAAGTTAGAACACTGTGAAAGGGGTCGAATATGGCATACAGTGGGGTGATGATAGTTTGAAGGGAGAAGTCAACTGTCAGTTAATAGACTTTTTTGCCGTATGATTATACATTGCCCAGGGTGTACCACGTGGAGGTAAATCTATCGCACACCCCACTTGAAAAAAATTAATTTGAGGTTATCGATATTTCTAAACTCTAACTTTGCTTACATATTTGATGTTTGTAACAAGAAGACTACTTTGTCAGAAATTCAACTACTGTTTATGGTTATTTGCTATTCAGTTTGTTAAATTTCTAGGTTAATTGTTCGGAACAACTTTACTATTCTATTGATGTGGTCTAGGCAACATGTTTTAATCTAATCAGTTGTTGTTTGCTGAGCATGGAACTTGTTTGCATTTTTTTCCTATATTCCCGGCTCCACTTTTGGTATTCTTGAACCCGATCGAATTTGCTCAAAGTTTCTCGACCATTAATTAGATATTTCAGCTTAAGGGATTTATTTGAGGTGGAAAGGGAGACATTGAAAGTAGAGAACTCATTTGTATTTAATTCACGTAGCCTTGAATAGATTACAACTCGATATTGGTTTCATATTGGTAATCATGCGTTAATTTTAAATTCAGTAACAGGAAATCATTTACTGAAAGTGTTACCTTTGTCCTGCATTATCTGTCCTTTTCGAAAAGTTCTCTTAATAGTTGTGGCATTCATTTCAATACTGAAAACAATGAACTTCGTGCGCTCAAAATCAAGGTTTCAACGGAATTCGCGCAAATTTGAATTTGTCATTATCGCATACACACTCTACCTAATGAAAATGCTATGACTTAGTGCTCCCAAGTTCACTTTTTAAGTCTTGACTTCACAGATTGTTGATTAAATTCATGTTTTTTTATTTGTCTCTTCTTAAAACAGAGGGCAAATCGAAAGGACTTTTTTGTTGCACTTATATCGACATCACGTCATTACCAGGCCACTGATGCACAGTAATAGACAAAATTTTATGTCAAGTAGAATTTATGCAATCTATGAGTATCGAAATGACATCTTGCTAGCTATGATAACGCAGTTAAAGAGGTATTTTTCGGGTTAAGGAAGAACTCATTGTAAAATTTATAATTGTTGATAATATGTAGTTTCCAACTCCGCTTCGAGATACAACCATAGAATCACGGGTAAACTCCTGTTAATCATTACTATCGTGTGTTGCTTTTGTCAGAATTTTTAAATCGGTGGTGAATTTTATTAAACTGCTAAAGCCAACACGAATATTCACATTCACATCCTGTGGAGTTAGCTGATTTGACTTATTAGACCTACGTAGAGATACTTATTCATACGTAGAAATGTGGAATCAGTACTGTGTTTAATGCTTTGTGTACACGCAATACTGGGAATGTAATTCCCTAGGTTATTTACAGGAAGCTCGATGAAATACGCATTTTATCGAACATTTTCTTTGGAAATTCTCACATTCTCGTTAACCCCTCTTCATGGGCTCGTTTTCTAAATGAGTCTGAGCTGCTTTTATCTAATGTAAGTCCTATTATTTCGCAATATATCGTGGGTCCGTTTAGAACATAAGTAAGTGACCGATAAGGACTATACTATAATGCATGTATTCTCTTTTGTCGATAGCTTCATTCGGCGATTTCCATACGTTTTTTATCCGATTTATATCATTTTGACCTTGCAAGCTTGTTGGATTTGTAAATTTTGCACGAGCTTGTTAAGGTTTTTTTATGCAGCCCGCATATTTTGTTAACTTTTAGTCTGATATCTCATCTACTATTAAGCTATGAAATGCTTATCACCTCAAAACCCGGACTAGACCTTTGCTCTACGAATCGCTTCCCCTTTGCCCTCCTTGGATCACTATTTGTAGTAGAGTAATCTAAGAACCATATATTTTTCATATCGCTTCCCTTGAATTCACCTCGAAGATAGTAGAACTCCATCGATTTTCATTTCTGATTCGGAGTTCTCTGTGTAACTTTTTCTGTGTAGAAGCATGTCCGAGTACGTTAGAATTTCATTCAGCGAAATTCATTCAATAACATTCTGCTGACTGATTGATAACTACTACTGCTCCAATTACTGTGTAGTTGAAGTTAAGTTACAGGTATTCATTTGTGTAACCTTATTCAAGCAATATCATCTCTGCTTTCTGTTTGTAATGTGACGCAATAAAGTGTTCGTTGTTTTACCTTTCTAGGATATCTTTGCAATTGAATTGCGTTCATATCTCAGTCGACGCTATCCATCGCTGGCTGACAGTGGAGCCCCGATCTTTTCACCGAAGCTAGAAGCTAATTACCACCTTCCAAGAAAACTTAAAAGGCCTCCACCTATGTTTCTTCGCCACATAATCAATTCCGCATGGAAAGCTATCAGGTAATCTTGCGATGTTATAATTCGGAAGCTAATTTCGATGCAGATAGGTGTTTGTATATTTAATTAATTTATCGTAAATTGCTTTTCTTTTATTACCACTAAAATACCTTAATGGATGTGTCAACCGGATTATTTTAAATCAGATTATGCTACTCAAACGACGCTTGGTAAACGCGCTTAATTAAAATCTTAATTATGGGTTTAAAGGTACATTTTCTGCGAAATCGGTATTAGGCGAGTCATTAACAGTGGATTTTTGACATCTATCTGCATTATGAGCGTAATGGTATTCAATTTACTATTGAATTAAGTAGTATATTGTGTTTCTCTGCTCTTCCGTGCTATGCGCTGTAAACATTCTCCTACAATTCAGTTCGAATTTTATTAGGCTTTAATTATCGTGAGCAAAACAATTCTGATGTAACTAAAACGGCATTTATTCATTTTGTAATTTCAAATTTTGACCATACTTTCGAATGGCAATCAAGTTGTCATATTTACAAAGTAACCATTTCTTTCAGCTGACCCTAATAATTATGTTGCAATAACCTATGCCATAGAGATGTATTGCGTAATTGTAGATTTTCTTCTAACTTCGTTCAAATTACTTAAACAAATAAGTAGTACGCTCGCTGTTCAAAACAGAGGTCAAGATGACTGTGTCTGGCGGTTAATTCGACCTATAGTGTTCACCCACGCAAGCATCATACGTGCTTGCAGTGCGACATATTGGATGCTATCAGCTGATGCACTTATTCCCATGGTGCGCGCATGTGTGAGTTTGCCATATCGATCTGTTTCGCTAGCCTTTGCGCAGCACTGATTGGCGCGTTCAACTGTAAGTGCGTACGTGATTATGTGGCGTCCTTATTGGTGGCCTGCTAGTGTTTCGCGCGCTGTTTCATTTGCTTACTCGTTGGCCTCGCCGCCTGGTGTGCGTTTTGTGTGTGCAACGGACTAGTTAATTTATCTCAACTTCAAGCTCCATTTCTCTGCGTTCCCTTATTCAGTCTTATCGCCAGCACACTTCCCAAAAGTCTCCACTACCTTTGTGCGTATATATCAGTGGGCTATTTGGAATTACACACTTTATCTCTCAAACTCCTGAACGTAAAGCCAATTAGCCTTCGTTCTTTGTTCTTAGTATACACTTTTTCGAGCGTTTCTTTGGTTCTTACTTTCGGCTGGAAATAACTTTTCGTAAGTTCTTTAACTAACATTCATGTAATATAATCTTTCCTTTGTATTTGAATGAATTTTCCTCCAAATCCATGCTGCAATATTTCATGAATTCACTGGCCTTTCATCTGAAATCTTGTTTGCCATGACTATTGGTTTTGCATTTATACAGATAAATCTTAATTTTTATTTTACTATAATCCGACTTGTTTCGCTCTTTGCTTTCCAATTAGGCAGGAGGCAAATTCTTTTTAATGATTAAACTATGTTTAAATTAATTCGTAGTTTGATTTTGAGAATTTTGCTCCCGATATTCATTTACGCAAACTTTTTGAAAAAAATAACATTGAATTTTGGTAAGAGTTAATTAAGCGCGTTTTCGCACCTACATCTCTTATTTTATTTTGTCTATGCTGTGTTCATTATCATAGTCTGTTTTTATATGCTGTTTTTTGAAGTCATTAGCCTTTTTTGCGCATGGGCCAGACTTCCACTGACCTCACTTTTTTTAAATTTGACCTCAATGGTTTTATCTGACCTTATTTTAGTGAGGGATCGGTTAACGTCTCCCCGAGAGTGCAAGCAGAAACTGCTCAAACTTTGGAATTTTACCTCCAGAACTTGAATAGAGCCCTTGCCGCTCAGTCTAACCCTATCTGTTCCGGTCCCAGCGTTTTCAACAGTGTTCCCCAAATTGGGTCATCCGTCTGGAACACAAGGGACTCAAATTCAACCAATGTAGGTTTTATTGTCATTATGTAATTAATTAATTAACTTTTTCCGCATTTTTCATTCAAGGTTTTAGTGCAGTTTGTCAGTTATATGAAGTACTTGCCTAATAGTTCTTTGAAAGTACTATGTTGGGAGGGAATACTATGATAGTCCTCCTTTTGACATGGTGATTTGAGACTATTCCTTTGACTAATTCGTACGAGATCAATGAACGTTCGGCAGCAGAGATCATTTCATTAATTCCATTTTAGAAATGTGTCCTTAAGGCCATATTTACCACTGTTGAATATTCCGCTCACTGAGTATATGCTACAGACATTGGACCTAATCATATATATTTATTTCAAATGGCAGGCGTTTTGATAGTTATCATTTACCCTTCTGCTTAGAGCTTAGAAGGAGCATAAAAGTGAAAGAAAGTAGAGNGGGGGGGGGGGGACGGAAGAGTGTTTCAAAGAGACAGACACAAAAGGAAGAGAAAAAGGAAAGGTGAGTACTGTGGAAGTAGTCGAGTACGACATACAGTGGGGTCATGGCAGTTTGAAGTCAGAAGTCAACTGCCGGTTTATTGACTTTTTTGCCGTATGAGTATACGTTGCCCATAGTGCACCACGTGGAGGCAAATCTATTGCACACCCCGGACCTAATTATATAGAAGGCCTATACACTGCGCTCCACTAATCTGCTATTATTGCAGGTCTTATCTGGTTTATTCGAAGTTATGCTTTAGAGCATTTGCAATTTTGCGGTTAAGTGGCCTAAGCCGGTAAATCTAAAATTCAATAGCTGATAAAGGGGTGAATTTTTAGAGTCGAATCAAAGTGACAGGGACTTGGGTCCCTTGATTTTTGGTCTTATGTTTCAAATTCTTCACCTGCTGTACTTCTTTTGTTTACAAGTCTACTTTATTTTGCTATGAATTTTTGTCCACTAGATTTTACAACTGATTCAGTCACACTGATCGAACTAACACACAGGAGCGTTTAATCCAAGTCACTGTTCACAAACGTGCTATGCTTCGTAATATTAGTGTCGTGATGTTAGATTACCGCGGAAATATCTCAAATGATACTTTGATGATCCATTTAGAAACAGTCTGCGAGAATTGCTCATTCCTAGACAAAATATTGCATTCTCTATCTTTGTATTGTTGGGTTTCTCACAATAATGTTGAAATTTTTTACTTCTTTTTGTTCTTTAAAGTCTACTTTCCAAATGTATACATTTGAGGAGAATGTACGCTTAAAAGACGATGCATTGATTTATTACTCGTGTTAAAACATGCAGGTGTCTAATTAAACTTATCCTTACCCTTATAGATCTCTTATCTAAATCCCCAAAGCCAAGTTCCTGGGAATAGGGGCGGAGCTCCCCAAATGGCGGGGACAGTTCAGCCTTCCATAGGAGGTGGGCCACCACTCATCTACCTGGATTTTACTGGCGATCTGGTGGATGCGGATTCCACTCCAGAAGATCGCCAAGTGAATGGCTTCTTTCATAATCTACTCCAAGGTTCGGCATCTGTTGAAGAAAGTGTTAAAATTCTCTACGACTATGCTACTCATGATGATGTTGCGAATAGAAAGCTTCTTGAGGGCATTCTCAGGATCCTCACTGCGGAAATTACCCTACATTTTCTCGATTACCCCGAACACGCACTGAATTCAATTATGGATTTTTATGGCGGTGTTTTGGCTGGTCTTGTTAATCAGTGCGTTCTATTTCATATCTCCGATTTTATTTAGTGAATGGTTTTTTATTCATTATTATTTCTTTTTAGGCTCCCTGTAACACTTCTGTCTTCCCTGTGGACGGCACTTTTAGGCCGTCTATATCAGTTCAATGGCGAGACTCCACTTGATACCCCTGCTTTCCGATCAATTATTGGTGTTCTCTACAAAACTAAGGCTACGTATGTTACCAATGTGCTAACGATTACCTATGTATATATAATACGTAAAGCTAGTAGGAAAATGCTTGAAACCGACCTTGGAGCGAATTGATAAGACTCATGTTATGGGGTTCTCTTATTCTACGTACGAACATTTGGTGACTTAATCATCATGACCTGATTAGTTAACTTTTATCTTCGGAATTTGAATTTTTGACCTGGAAGGTCATGCAATTCATCTAAATCGGGGGATTCTCATCATATGTCGTTTTAACTGCGCTGTTTATTTCTATTTCTTTGGTTTGAAGAGTTTATTTCCGTCTAGAACGTTTGTGACTTAAAACTTCATTAGGTTAGTTCTTTTCAGTTATTATTTCAGCATAATCGTGTTTTATACTCGATAAGTCCTGTTGCTACAAAATCCATATTCCTTTTTACTTCCAAATGTGATAATGGTGTTCGCGCGTAACGGTTCCTTTAGAACTTTATCATCCCTTCGTTCATGTTATTCGTCGAAATCTAGAATGAATGATGACTGGAATCCATCGAAGTTATGGGGAAGATTGATCAGGATGATTCGCAACGACTGTCAAACTTTCGAGGTTATAGTATTTGCTCAATCCTCCCTCGACGTTGAAGATAATCCGGAATTGGCTGGAAAATTTCAGCGGAGTCTACGGGGTTGTGATTGGAAAGCAATTTGGGCGATTATCTGTTCTGATAGCGCTTGAACAGCAGATTTCTTTGATTATTTACTGCCAAAAATAGCGTTTGAACATTCTCGAATCGGGATTATGTCTTTGTTGGAAGCTTTTATCAAATGCTTCAGTATCTAACTTTCCTCTAAACGATATTATTTTTCCTTTTCTTCCCAGTTGAGTATGTCATAATCTTACCAAATGGTCACACTGATTCTACATACTTGCGGGCAAGTGCGCCCACAATGCTCGGTTTTTTATCGGCTTTACCTTTTTTTATGAGCTTAAAGGGTTCTTTAGTTGGGTGCGTTTTCCATTTAAATGCAATTTCAATGTGAAGGTAGGAATGTATTGGAGGACGAATAAGTTTTCTAATCAGTTGTATTATACTCTGCACAGTTTACGCATGCTTAACAGGTTATTTTTCAATTCGAATTTTATTCGTCGAGCATTGTTTTAGTATCAAGGTGAATTTAGTCATTTATAAATTACCTTCATGCTTTCAATATCTTTTTTAATTTAATTTAACGATGTAACTTCTATTCCTTTTTTACATAGATTTGTACGATACGCTAATCTCACCTCCGCAATCATTCGATGTCACGCCTTTAAGCAATTTCCTCCGGATCTTCGTGAGGTAAGCATTGATTCCTGGCTAAAATTTAATTATAAGACCTCAAGATATTTCTTGGTTCTAGACTATCCTTAATGCCGATGCTGTTTGTAAATCCTATCAACGTCCCACTACTAACGCTCACCCGCACCTCACCGGTTCACAGTCCCTCAAGGTAAGTTCTACAACCGTGTTACGTTTTTTCCCCCTGAATCTCTTTGATTATTATTAATGCAAAATTAAATGCTTTTAATTGCATTTGAAGAATCTATTTTCATCGGTGCTTCAGATGTTGATACGTTTTCTAGCTTTGGTGACCCGAGGTTTCCCACGGCTTAATTGAGGTCATGGCTATATCTGTAGTGGTGAGCAGTCATAGATAAATCTACTTCCACTTGTTTTGTGAATGTGCATATTTTTGATTTTATCTGGTATTCATAGGGAAGGATGTCAGAAGATTGCTCGATCTGAGATATTTTGATTCGAGCTCGTGTCCGCAATAATTATTTAAATTTGGCTGATTTTTCCCCACTTTGTCTTCTCGATGATGCCTTTACACGAATCGGAAGTTCGGGTGTGGCCTTTGATGCTGATTGAAGGGACATTATTGAACAGAGGAGACACCATCAGTAGCATAGAAAAGGTGAAGCTGACTTCCATTTGATGGAGGAATTATGGTGGATTCCTAATTTTCTGCAGATGCAGATATTTCGTGTTACCTCTGAGTAGACACGTCGTCAGAATGTGTTCTTAGTCGCATGTGTGTCTCGCAATATGAATTCTTTTGAAATTTTCTTAAACCTTCACGTTGGGCATTTGTCTTTACTGTTTTAACGCTGAATTCTTAGTGATAATTTAATCTTCGTTTAAAGCTCTGGGGTAGGGATGTAGCTTCTAAACTGTTCCTCTGTTAGGGTTTCGAAACTAAATTTATCATTAAAAGTACACAATGTCCGTCATAGTATGGGCTAGGAAAATTACTAACGACTTATTTTAGCCTTAAATGATAGAAATATCCTAAATGATCAATAGGTTATATCTACATATTAAATGCAATGTTCTTCATTTAGTGGTAGCACGTGTCTTATGCAGATAATGCCTACTCATTGCTTTGATATGACACGAAGACTTAAAGTTACTCATCCTTCCAATTGCAAGATTTATGGCATGTTTACTGTTTACTTGCAGGATCTTCATGCCTCCGGACAGGCAATGCATATGCAGCAGCCTCAGTCACAGCAAATGCAACAGTCTGGATTTCAGACGGAATGGGCTCCACCAACTTCACCTGAGGAGGGTGTTCGTGATCGAATTGTCTTCACCGTCAACAACGTGGACCGATCAAATACTAACCTCAAATGTAAAGAGCTCTGCGATTTTCTAAAATCCCCCATGATCCCATGGTTCATCCATTACCTTATTAATAAACGAGTTACCGTGGAGAATGCTTTTTTGGATGTTTTCGCGGAAGTTATTGAACAGGTGAACCAACGTCATCCAACCACACGCCAACTTGCCATCGAAGAGCTTTATCGATCCATTAAGGTAAATGGACCTATTCACCATCTTCTCAGTAGTATATGATGTTCAATGGGTTATCTTAAAATTTGTCTCCATTTCACAGGCGATACTTCGAAATATAAGATCAGATGTAGATGACTCTCAGGCGCGGCTGTATCTTAAGAACTTGGGTCGTTTTCTTGGAATGCTCACTCTGGCTAGAAATCGGCCCGTCATCTTCGAAGATCTGAATTTGAAAGAGCTTATCCTAGAAGCTCAGGAAATGGGAGCAGTTGCATTTACCTATGTCATTCCCTTTGTCTCACAAGTTCTTAAGGGTGCAGTGGGCTCTATTTTTGCCTCTACTCCCTACATTATTGCTATTCTCGGTGTTCTTCGTGAGTTGTATGAAAACTGCAACTTAAAAGTTCAATTTAAATTCGAAGTATGTTTCATTTCCTAACTTACTCTCGAAAATATATGTTGCTAATCATGCTCCTATCTTTTCAGATCGAAATGCTTTTCAAAGAGTTTCAGTTAAATGTTACTGATGTTCCCATTCCTCCTCCTCCTGAGATCGCGAGACCTCGAGGTCCTCGGTACATCTCACTTAATGCAGGAAATATGTCAACCGGCCAGCATCAGACTCCAAATCATCAACAACAAACAGCTGTTGCTGCTCAAACGCGATCTCTTATTGTCCAGCAAGCTTTGCATCAGCAACAGCCTACGCTACAACCAACTTTTGATCAATCCGTAATTGATTGTAATCCCCGATCTCTTACGGCGTTAGCTCATCAGCAACAGCAGCGTTTAGTGGCAGCTGCCGCTGCTACTGGGCAACATCCATCAATGTATGGGAATGTGGGTTCAGCCGCAGGTCGTTCTAATGTCATTGCCGCTTTGTTAGAAGGAGCTCAACCGAATCCGGCTGCTGCAGCTGCAGTTTTAGCCGGAAACACTCATCATGGTGGAGCGGATTCTATCTATTCGTATGCACCAACAGGAGATGAGAACATCCGTCGAAAATTCGATCCCTCTTACCTGAGCCTCCAACAACAACAGCAGCTGCAACAACAACAAAATTCACAGGCAGCAGCTGCAGCAGCGTCTTCAAGACAACAACAGGCAGCACTATATCAGCAGTTATCTGGTGTAGTCAATTCCTCTGGTCAACAGGTTTCTGCTCAGAATTCGACCTTTAACGCACCGGCAACTGCTGGGTTGCCTCATGTTGTATCAGCACCGCAGTTAGCATCCTCTATTCAAGGTACCCCACGAGACATTTCTCAAAATGGTCCTCAATTTCACTACGACGAGGTGGATATTACTACTGTTCGAGGAGCTGTCAATATGGATGATATCGTTCAATATATTTACAATTTGAACAACTCTCCTGCAGTGTCTTCAATTAATTCTCAAGCCGCTGCCAGAGCCCTTAATATTATTCACACTGATGCAGTTAAATCAGCAATCGTGCAGACAGTTGAGAAATCGATTGTCAGTGTTATAAATCTTCTTGCTGAAAAGTGGATTAATGTTGCTGTGTCAACTACAGACTCTCTTGCCAAAAAGGACCATGCTTTTCAACCCGACCCAGTGCTCTTGATGCGTTCCGCTAGACAAATGGCACGTCATTTGGGCTGTGGCGTCACTTTGTCTCCAGCGAAGGAGGCACTACAGCCTTCTCTTCTCAACTCTATTATCGCTGCCATATCCAGTCTCACGAAATTCGACAAGTTGGATAAAGATGCAGCCGAGTTGATTGCAGTGGTAATTACATCCCGTGTTTCCCCTGCCGGTGTGGCTTATATCCAAAAGACCATTGCCGAACGTGCAGTTCGTGAAATTGAGAAGAAATTTGAATCAGAAGTGAAGATACGGCAAGAATTGGGCCCAGTTAGGTTCCTGGAACAGGCTGCTCGATTGAACAAAAACTTACCTGAGAGTGTCCAGTTAAATGCGCATATGATGACTAATATAAAACCTCAGGCATATGATTCTCTGGATAAGACGATTCCTGGATTTGCACCCTTGTCGTCCACGACGTATCAAACGCCTAATAATCATTTTTTAATTCAGTCAACTGCTGCAGCCGCAACTGGCAATCCTGCACTATCCGCCGCTCAACAACAAATTCTACATAGAGCGGTATCTAGCGGTGTAATGCCACCCCAACAGAGTCAAACACAAGCTCAATTACCCAACGTTTCATCAGCTTCAACGATGGTTAAGTATCTTCAACAGCAACAGCAGTATATGCAGCAACAACAACAGCATTCAGCCTCCCAACCAACTCCCCAGAATCAGATTCAACCCGCAGAGGTGTTCTATAACCTTGCTTTACAGTTTCGTCAATTGCTTGACAAATTGATGAAGTTACTTCATGTTTCTGCGCCTTCAGAGTCACCCTTACTACGTGCGCAACAGGAGATTATGGAACTTCTTTTTCAGGCGCGGAGTGTAGCCTCAAATCAAAATAGTAATGTTCTGTCTCGTCTAGTATCTGCCACTGTGCATTCCTTCCTCTTATTCTACCGACCATCACAATGGCTTGATCTCCCTGAGGGTCACCAAGTAATGGAGTGCCTTAGAGAAATGCACATGATTATATTCAAGACACTACTCAGCATTGAGCAGCATTCATGGATTATCAGGCAGATAACTCATATATGGATTCAGCTTCCAGACGGTGAATCCTCACCTTCAGCAAACCTTACCAATCCTCCATCAAAGGTGGAACAACTTTCCACATTGGCAACGCTTGCAATAGAGAAGTCGGGAGCTCCAGTACCTGATTCTAACACTGATACCGAGTCAGAAACATGTAAATGGAATTGGGAAGCCTTTGCGGAGCTTCTAAGATTTCATGTTTTCTACCTGTCGCAAATTGACGCTTGCTTGGCGCCTAAGGTTGAGGCTGGTCACAAGTTGGCCGTGACATTTGTTCTTAATCTCTTGGATCAGTATGTTCTGCCTACCCTTGTGGGCTCATGCAATCAAGTCGCGAGTGATTGTGCTCCGATGGCTATTAATGCCACTCAAACTCTTTCAACCTCTCTCGGAAGTATATTTAAGGTCGCACATAAACGTGAATTCACTGTCCTCAATGAATTTGACTTATGGCTGACTACGCGTGCACTTGAGAGACTTCAGTTGAGCACTGTTATTTCTCCTGGCGACTTTAACCTACGTCTTCGTTTATCCTGTGCCAGAATTCAAGCTATAATGGATTGGGGTCTATTTGATAGCGAAGAATTCAATACTGTAGTCAATAAAGATTCTCCTGAATTCGGTGTTTTGTTTGCAGGTATCTCACGAACCCTTGAATTCGATGATACAAATGTAATGAAAACAAAAACTGAGCACGTTTTTCGTTGGTGGTTTTATCAGCGTCCTCAGCCCTGTCCCGGTCAAGCAGATTTTGAAAGTCAGGCTGGTCAGCTATTGCAATTCCTTCAGAGCACTGGTTTGATCACAAACGAGGAAAATATGACACGCTTCCTTCGTTTATCAATCATTTTTGTTATAGACAGAGCTCAAAATACTCTCAAAACGGCGGAGGCGAATACTCTCCTCAATGCCACACCTTCACGTAGTCTTAATACTTTACTCGAACTGGATTCCTATGCTCGACTTCTTGCCATTGTCATCGCAATGGGTTCACAAGAAGGTGGTGAAAAAGCCAAGATAACCCTTCTGAATCGTACTCTCGGCATTTTGGGGGGCACTCTAATGCAGAGTCATGAAATTAGAACAGAGCAATTTAATTCGATGCCCTTCCAACGTGTTATGATTATGCTACTAAATGACCTCTTTGAACTCATTCCCCCTCCATCTCGGCAAACCAAAAAACCTGAGGAAGCTCAAGAAGATCACTCTTCACTAACACTCTATGATTATATTCCCATTGCTTTTGGCTGTCTATTGCATTTTCTGCGTCCAGCCAGAATGCCCCGCTTTCAACTGGCCTTCCTCGAAATTATAAGTCATCGAAACTTCATGGAGAGACTGTTGGGCAGGACAGAGCAAGACTCCATTTCTGCTGCATATCGTTGCATTTATGCTCAATTATTGGCTGATATGATGAGCCATATTGCCTTCTTCCTGCAGAATACCATCACCTCCAAAGGCATTACAAATCTCTATGTGGCAACATTCCGACTTTGGATGGTACTGTTTTACGATTTTTCCGATTTTGTATCGGAGTATTGTACATTCTTCTGCGATGTTTTTCCCAGCGCTGCGATCCAGTTGAGAAATCTGGTCATCTCTAGTGAACCCCGTAAAGAAGGTACTCCCCTCGACCCTCTGAATGCTCCCCCTGTTGATCAATTGAGTCAGCTGGAAGACCCCTTGGGATACGCAATGAAAGCCGGTAATCGACTTCCACCCGTTTTACGGACTGAAATTGATTCTTACCTCTCTTCTCGACAACCCGCAAAGTTTCTCACTGATCTTCCTGCAATGCTCCGTAGAGTTGATTCATTGGCAGTCTTACTGGCATCTCCCCCTCCCCTGTTGACTTCTGCCATGTTTGTGGAACAGTCGGAGGGAGGCGATACTACCTGTCACGAGACTGCACCTCCACAACCCCCTCCTCAAGGTAAGAAGGCGAAGAAAGCGGCAGCAGCTAAGGCAGCGGCAGCATTGGCTCACCAACAAGCTGTTTTGAGTGGTGCCGCTGTCCAAGCTAATATGTCTGCACGCTGGGCCGCTGTGGGCTCTCAAACCCTCTCTGCATACGGTGTAAACACATGTTTGAATTATATCCCCGAATTGATGACCGATTTAGTGGTCTACCTTTGCATTACTGCTGTGAAGAATCTAAGGGAATCTGGTCAACCTTTGAATATAAGCACTGTGGCTAAGATGCCTCAAATGGAGATTCTGCAAGCTCTCCTGCTAAATCTGGATGATGGTGGTCGATATCTGCTGTTGAATTGCATCGCCAACCAACTGCGTTACATGAATTCGCATACATGCTATTTCTCATGCAGTCTACTCTATCTCTTCTCAGAGCTTCCTTCAGAGAAGGCAAAGGAACAGATTAGTCGAGTTTTGATGGAGCGGTTAATTGTCAATCGACCACATCCCTTCGGCCTTCTCATGACATCAGCTGAACTTCTTCGCAATCCCATCTACAAATATTGGAATCATGATTTTGCTAGGTGCCACAAGGAAATGAAAGAGTGAGTCCTTTGTTTGTTCTTCGTTATTCAAGACAAGTTCATGAACTTGTTTGTGGAAAAATCTCCTTTCCTACGCTAATACATTGTTTAAATATTTAAATTTTCTTCATATATGTAGGCCTGTTGATGAATGGAGAGAGTAAGTACTATGTGTGAAATAAAAGTCGCTCTTAGCATATAGTCATCACAATCCTGATCTTTGAGTTTTCATCATTGCTATATTGTTTCCCGTTTTCAGCAAGTTTTTGTGTTCGGTTGGCATGACTGAGTTTCCCTTTATACACGTGCAATCCCCCCCAACGGTAAGTGCATTAAACCTGGTCAGTTTCAAAGCGGTTGCACTGGCGTAAATGCTGTTATTACTACCTAGTAGATCATTTTCTGTTAAATGTTACGTAGTCATCGAAACACGTAATTTTTATTCCATGACCCTCCGTATTTTCTAAAATCCTCCAGATATGTGTTGGATATTTGCGTTTGCATGTTTGATGTTCCATGGGTGTCTGATTCGCCTTTACTGCTACTGTCATTGCTCATTGCAGTTCAAATAATCACCATTTATTCGTTGCGCAAAACAACTGAAGGGGTTCGCAGAAGATCCCACAAATGAGAAAGCGGTGAATCTCATGAATTGTTCTCTGCAATGCTGCAACTAATTGTTTTAGGTGCTAATGCTTATTTTTCAAATTCCGAACAATGCATTTTTTCAGTGACCAAGAAAACAAACCATCTGTTTTTTTTCCCCAATTTGATCGCAACATTTTATCTTTGGGTGGGATAGCCTAAACAGGTATATAGATTTATTTGCTTTGTCCGTACGATTTATTGATGTAGGAATTCGGACCGAAGTGCATTGAAGATGTAAGAGTTAGGACACGTGGCCATCTTGATTTATGACCACATCCCCCTCATTGAGAAATTTAGACTCGTGTTTGTTCAGGTTTTAGCAATGGTCATGTTTGATCTCCCTATTTACGCATTCTTTTCCCCGGCTAGTATGCTTCGTTTATGTTAACAAGGTCTCGATGCTAATTATCGTTTTTTTTCAGTAGCGTATTGGTTGTTGTCATGCCTTTACACCAAAACCTGAATTTAAGTTTTCGCCGGAGGTTACGAAATAAATGCTCTTGCATATCTAGTACCGTAAGTGGTCGATCGGTCTTGTTAACGTTGATCGATAAATGTGGGGAGTATACATAATAAATTTTCTATTAGTAAGTTTACAATACATTTCATTTTTCTTCAAGTCGCTGTTTCCAATATTTTGCTATGAAAGGCGAAGCTAATTTAGACGCTGCTGTAATTACACGTTTTTTTCTCTCGATTTCAGCATTGTGACTGTTGTAGCCCGAAGCTGCATTCCGAACTTTACTCCTCCTCATGTCAGCATCGGAAACGGTCCAGCAGTGGGCCAACAAGTGAATCCGTCCGGACCAACTAGCGCACCGAGTTCAGAGACAAAAGCGGCGGGTGTTGCAGCAACCGCAAATCTGAGTTGATGAATTTCATCAATTACGAACTTTTGCGCATCCCTACTTCCAATCAACCCCATTGTTTCAACTTTCTCTGTGTTTTCCCTTCTTTTTTATCAATGACAATTGTTGTGTACATGGTAGAAAAGCCAACTCCCATTTCGTGCGGGTTTGATGTCTTTTTGTGAAAACCGCGTTGTTATTAGTAAACTCTGATGTTTTTTATGGCCAAATTGCTATCTGTACAGTTTCATCAAGTGTTTTGGAGTGGTTTTGAAAGGTATGATTGTATAGTGCTCTGATTTTTGGCATTGAGGGTAGATGAAAGCAAAGCGGTTGCATAAAACGGTTCTACTAAAAATGTATTAGTAGTTGTTATTTTAGGAGGCTCGTTTAGTCTGCTCGGGAACATGAGTTCTGCTCTTAGTGACACTCACAAGCTATTTTTGATTACATTTTCCTGAAATTTCTAACTATAATATTAATTTTCGAAAAAAGGTTTAACTTTAAAGCGCTTTTAGACTTTTGCAAAGAGCCTAGAAAATAATTCGCAGGCTGCAATCACCTTCAGCACTCCTATTTGTTTGAACGTTTCAGCTTCCATTGGACTTCTATGTCATATTGGACACCTTCCTAGGTCTTTGAATGTACACGTTAGTTCAAATATCATTATCAGGTTAGTTTGTTAGAATGATTATTAGTTCGCAGACCGATTTTTCCGCAAAAAATGTATTTAAGCTTGCTTTAACTCCAAATGGAGTTTGAAACTTTGAACAGGTTCTGCAAGTTTGAATTGAATCCGATTTGACCAATCAGTCTGAAATGTGTTGTACTTTCTTACTTCCTTTCTTCAGACAATATGCACAGAGTTGTGTTTTACCTGTCCTTTAATTGATGCAATTAAAGGAAATCAAGTGCCAATGTCTTCTTAAAGTTTTGTTTATTTTAACAGATGATAATGATTGACAGGTTTCGGGATGGTAAACATGGATTCTTATTCGATAGAGCCACCTTTGAACGCCAAATCGAGGGAGAATCGGCGTATCGAACTTACAGTACAAGTTGGTTTTTGTCCGCATTCAAATAAATTGCTATGATGGTGTTTGCTGTGAGTTGATGTCTTGAAAACATTTGGATTTCGACCGCCAATACCAAATTGGCGTTTCTCACTTCGCAACTCTATTTCATAAGGGGTAATTGTCATGAGGATCCTTCCTTCGAACAACTCGTTTCTCTTAACTAGGGTAAGCATAGTTCTTTTTTCTCTTAATGGTACTGCTGCAGAAGTAGTTCTATAGAAGATAGGACGGAAGTTAATGTGAAAATCGGGCCTTTAGAGGAGCTGAAGTAGGGTTCAATACTTCATATCAATAGATATCACAAGTTTGTATTCTCGATGCCCAAGGCATATTGACCAGGTGGCTAATTTCCATTTCAGCACATCTTCTTTTGCTCTCAAAGGTATTTTTGTATTGTTGGCTCATTTGAAGATCAAAATGGGCTTTCGTTTTGCCTTACCGCTAAGAATAGCAGAAAAGCATCTATTGTTACTAAAATGACTGAATGCAGCTTTAAGAAGGAAGGGAATTGTTATTGAGGCTTTTGTGATGCATGTTCATGGTTAACATTGCACCGACAATATGCTAACGGAAGATGTTGAGAGCTGCAGTATATGGAGAACTGCTTGTTCCGCTACGTTTGCAATTTTTGGTATACATTGGGCGGCCTGAACGAATCCGCTTATATGCACATTAGTCATACTCAGATCCATTATAATCGGGACATGACGTGGTAACGACGCTATTACAGGAGGGTCCTTAATTTTAAAATGGGAAATTGAGGCTATTCTGACTCAGTCGAAAATTATTGAGGTATTCATGTGAAATAAAACAATATAGACAAAAATTATTCCTAAAAGCCCAATAGAAATTTGACAAAAATTGAAATTGAAATGGCGTACTGTAATAGTTACGCCATATATTGAAATAGGGTGAGGTAGAGGGAAACACCATTCTTTTCCATTGGATTAAGCAATATAAAAACGCGAACCAACAACCATATGAATACAGGAGTTGGAGAAAACAGCATCCTATAAAAATGACGACAACCATCTTTGTCGTCAAGTGACTGTGGTTACTCAATGGCTCACGTTACTTTCATTTAGATCTGCGGTGCTACCAGATGTTTCCTGATTGGATGACGAGAGTGCTGATAATGTCTACTATCAATTCTGTGGTGGCAACGTTCTTGGTGAAAATCTGTCTTTTTATGAACTGAACCATGCATGGATATGACGATTAAAGTTGTAAATTAGCAAGTCAATGCAAGGACTTCAACCTGCTTACGTAAATTAGTTAATACGTCATGCTTACCACAGTGCATTTACAGTGGATGGAAGTTCCCAGTGAAATTCAGAGCCATAGAAGTCTCTGTCTTCTGCACCACTCTAACTTAAGAAGGAAAATCTTCTCCCATTCTCCATTTAGCAAAACTGCTGTCTTGATTGCGGAACTTGCGAATGTCTGTATTGTATAAATATTCAAAACTTCGCTGTTAACTGCTTTTAATGATGGTTGGCAGACAGCTATCGTTCTTTAAGCAATTTCGAGTGTCGCTATTTTGTTAATTAAATAAATTGTTTAAAAATAAATTACCGCTGAGAGACGATAATTAAGGTTTTTATTTTAGTTCTGCTATCGCTACTGATAGAAAATTTCCAAAGATATATGTGATATAATTTTTCAGCTTATTCTGAAATGATGTAATTTGAAATCGTTGATGTCAGGGCTATTTAGCTGTTTAATGAATAAATTATTTAATTATTTATGTGAATTCATTACTCTTTTCTATTTGTAAAGGAAATTATTCGTGAATTAAAGAAGTAATGTCTGAACATGATATGACACTGAGGTCCTTCTTTTCATTCTTGTTGGACGATGTTAGTGAGGCGAACATTGGAACGAAATGCCAGGATTTAACGCGATGTCTAATACCTGAATTGATTCCGGGACTCTTGGACTACCTTATTAACAACCTCATAATTTATGATGCGAGTCGCGTTGAAGTATTTGCCGAAGTGCTACTGCAACTTAGCGGTTTATTTTCAGAGATTTATAACTTTGCCATACCTTTAGTTGTCAGGACAATCAAGGTGAGACGAATTACTTTCGAATGAAAAAAATAGTAATTTTAATACAGACGTGTTCTTTAGGAGCCTTAGTAGTAAAATAAGCTACTTTTCTTGAAGCATATAGTCGCATAGAAGATGTCAAGATGGGAAAGTATTTTCTTCAATAGTGCACTCAAGTGTAAATTTAAGTTCAATTGTACCTGCTCCCTCGCACTATTATCACCTATGTATAGAATTTCCTAATGGTCTGCATTCCTTTCACAGTTTTTGTTGAACACACCTACTGGACAAAGGTGCTCAGCTCATCAGTGCCTCCTCATTCCACGTTCAACTGCATAGAGTCCTACAATGAATGCTTGATGCGGTGGCAATAGTTATTGGGCATTTCTTAATTCAGCCTCACCTACCCCGACTGAAATTCTGAAATCTGCTCTATACATGTACAGATTTAGAGCAACATTTCGGCCAGTATTCCATTTTCCCTTGTTTGTAGACTATCACTAGAGAGCTTTTTCGGCAAGTACTAGAGCGTATACATTTTCACCCATAGGAGATAGCCCATACATTGAGGGCATTGGTCACGTAAGGCAACAAAAAAGACCAATATGGAAAGTAGATTAGGTGAGGAGCACCCGAAGTTGTGCGCACATGTAAAGATGGAGTTATACCCCAACCCTGTCCCTATCGTCTATTCTACTTGTTTCCAAATTCCAGACTATATTCCTGCATCTTCCCGCAGTGAATACAACTTCGATAGAGGAGTATTTGAAAAATCTTGGACGCTTTTTGGGTTTTCTCACCCTCGTTAGAGGCAGGTTGGTCATCGACGGTGTTTTCGATATGAAGTCCCTTCTGCTCGAGGCAATCGACAAAGGCAATCCCGCTCTAATCTACGTTGTTCCATTTTTATCGTCATTTTTCAAATGTGTAGCAATCTCGGGATTCCCTATATATTGCACGTACAATACGAGGATTCTTAAGGTCCTGTCATTGGTCCATCGTACGGAAGGAGTAGATCAAAAAGTTAAATTTGAGGTACTTTTATGCTAATTATCTTAACATCTTGTAATACCCTATTTAGATTGAGGAATTGTTTAAGGTACTTAAGGCCAAAAGTATGGAACTCGGGAATGCCTCAAACATCTGCTCTTCCCCTAAACGATTATACATTGGTTTTGATAATGATTTGCATACTAATAAGCAATCACTATTGCCATGGGAGCTTGAATCGACTTCAGGAAAGGTCCCTGACCGTAATGTTATCGCACTTTTTCAAACCTTAACGGCGCAAAATATGTTACCTTCCGTTGGTCAATCTGTTAGGAAGCAGATGCCTGTAAATGTGTTTCGAAGCACGTCTTCAACATTGAATTTCTTGAGATCACAAGTGACGGATGGAATTGGGATGGACCTACAAAAAAACCTTACTCCTCTTCTTTCGTCGCATCCACCATCTGAAATTTTACTCTCTCAGTCTTCTAACTCAATGCAGCAATTACCGGGATCACAGTCTTCTCAATTCGATTCGACCCGACAGCCACTTCACCAGCAGATGCCTCTCATAAACCACGAGGATAACTGTGGGCGTCAAATAAATTATGATGAAATACTTAGTACTTTAAATATACAAGAGGCACAGGAAACACTTGAGTCCCAACACAACGCTCCTTCTCTTCATGTGGATCATGCTTTGCTTCGTGAAGCTAATAGGTTCCTCTCTAGACCTGAAACCCAATTTTTAATGGCGTTTGCAGTTATTAAGTTTATCGTGGAAGCAACCAGAAGTGAATCAAAACGCGTCGCTATTAACTCGATTACCAATTCTGTAATCAATGCGATCACTAGGAATGGTATTCCAGAGAACTTACTCAAAGTAGTTAAAAGCAAAACTTCTGAAATTACGTTTTCACATGTAAGGCAACTTATGAAAGGAACTTTCAACACACTATTTAGAGAGCATGTAATGATATTGTTGCATAATTTTGGCCATAAAAACCCATTCATAGGCGAATTTGTAACAGAATTTGTACAGAAGCAAAGCTTTGACATGCTCTACCCCCACTTCCTTAATGATATGTACAAAGAAGCTCTTGAAGATGTTAAAAAGCAACTGTTCGCTATATCTACAAGACGCCAGCCTGAGTCGCAATCTCACTCAAGTATAGGATGCTTCGTTCACTCATCTCTAGATCCATCTAGAAATGCCCATAGAGTAGAAATGCCCCAAAATGTGCCTACTGAACAGTCAGTGCTCTCAAATACTCAGCAACACAGGACTCAAATGCACTTGAATCATCCTCAAGATGCCGTTATCATAGCCCTGCCTTCGCAGAGTGGTAACACATCAACGTTTGGAAAACAAGAGAGAAATATTATGGATTTGGTTACAAAAATCTATGACAAACAGATGGCAGACTCAGAAGTTCAAGAACACCTACAGCATAAAAGGATTTGTGTTTATCCAAATTCTCCACTAATGAAGGATTTGCATAACATGTCACTACGACGTGGGACTGACGCATTAACTTCTGCACAGTTGGACACAATTGACTCTGAGCAGCATCAAGTTCAGTTTGTTTGTTACAAACTACTCGATTTTATTGATAAAATTATGCCCATCGCTTCATCTGGTCATACATTAACTATGCTGTCGACAATTAAACAATTAGCCACTGATGCTGTTACACATTTATCGTCTGCAAAAGTGACCATATGGGGAAGTATTGTTTGTTGCATAACAAGTTCCTTTTTGAAGTGTTACACTGCGTCGAATGAAGATGCTGTCAATGAAGATCAGAAGCATATTTACCTATTTACGCTAAAATATATGTGCAACCTCACTAGAGCTGAGTTTGTTCAAGCGGCAGTTTTCACTGGCTGGTATTTTGAGGTTGAATTAGAAAGAAAAAAAGGGGACCTTTTGACTCCCAACGCGAGTATTTGGAACTGGAAAGCCTTCGCAGAACTCTTTAGACAGCAATTAGTGGATCTTGATATGTTTGATCAATGTTTATCGGTAGGTATTGAAAGAAATTTCATTGATTATGTGGAATTTTTCCTCAATCTTTTGGATCACTTCATTTTGCCCGAGGCTTTCGAAACGAAATCGAGTGAAATAGGTAAAGATGGCACCAAGGTATTGTCTACAAATTGTGGATTAATTAAAGTTGTTGAGCATAAACGCGACTTCATGGCTCTCAATGAGTTTGATTTGTGGAAATCCATACGGTCGTTTGTGAAACTGCAAATGTCAATTCCTATTGCAGGTGATTTTGTTCGTATCCACACGTCTTATGCTCGAATTCGAGCATTAATGGATTGGGGTCTTTTTGAAAGCGACGAAGTTCAGGAGAAATTTTCTTTGGATAATATAGAATACCAGCCATTATTCAAAGAAATTTCGAAATCCAAACTCAGGAATAGGTGGAGTGAAGATAAAGGGAAATTGCATTGCGTTTTCAACACTTGGTATGGATTTTATAGTAGTTCTCCTTCAATTAGCAGAAATACCCTAGCTTGCATGGCACAGTGCATGAAACCGGTCTTCCCAAATGGAAGCTCAGAGAAAGAAGAAGATGTCATAGACTTTTTCCGTGCACTAATTGATGAAATCGTTGACACTTTCACTGTGGATGAATCGGGAAATCTCAGAACAATTAGCTTTGAAGAACGAGATGAATTGAGCAGGCGTTCTGAGGCGTTTGGTGAATTTTTGGCTATAAGTATTTTAACTGCCTCAACATTGCATAGCAAGATTAATAAGTTGAAGCTACTATGCCACTTTCTGGGAAGCCTGGGTAGAAAAATAATTTTTATGCATGAATTGTCAAAAGGCGTATTCGATTCCTTGCCCTTCAAACATATCTTAATGAGGCTCTATAGAACACTACTTGCGACTCAACGTGATTCTTTACTTAAACCAATTATGCGTGAACCTGTTCCAGTTGTCTTTGGGTATCTTCTACATCTTCTTCGTCCTTCTCGCGTGCCAGCTTTCCAAGAAGCCTTCTTAGAATTTCTTGGAAGTGATGTCTTTATGATAAGTATGCTGGGGGTTGTGACCTTGGCTCATCACAACATTTACGCGCAATTGCTGGTCGATGTGACAAAACATGTCAGCATCTTGGCTCAGTACTTTATCACACGTAATAGTTTTACGAATTTATATCAGTCACTTCATGATCTTTGGAATAAGGTTGCTTCCTTGTATCCAACTTTCGTGTGTGGATTCGCCCACTATTTCTCCAACTTTCTATCTCTTCCTCTGTTCGATCTGAGAAATTTAGTGATTTCTACCAGAAATGCTCAAGCAACCTTTACGGGAATCTTGGAAGAAGGTGCCCTAAAAAGTCGGTTAGATTCATTACCTGATCCCACAGGTTATGTAATGCAAGCGCACAAGAGACTTCCATCAGTTTTGAAATCTGCAGTTGAATCGTACTTCTCTGTCGGTGCTCCGCTAGATCTCTTGGAGGCACTTCCTTACGTACTTCAAGCCAGTGATTCCATCGTCCATATGCTCCAGTCTCCTACGAAACCGGTAATGGCACAGGATGAATTCGGACAAAACAGCATATTTCATAAAGCCCTGCATCATGCTGCAATCAACGTACAGAACCTCACTGACTATGGATTCACTAACTCTCTACCATATATCCCTGATTTGGTATCCGACTTTCTAGTATATTTGTGCATAGTTTCGGTAGAAAACTGTCAGTACCTAGGAGATGATGCTGGCGAATACTTGATGGAAAGATTACCTCTTATGGAGATCGTCAAATCATTGTTGAAAGCTATGGGCAATGCTGGCCAATACTTCATAATTAGTTGCATGGTTAACCAACTACGCTACTTGAACAAACATACCAAGTTTTTTGCCCAGTATCTCATACAAATTTTTAAATTGGCCGCCAAGGATGAGGATTTAAGGTGTGATATCTTCCGATGCCTTTTCGAGTATCTTTTGACGAGGGAGCCCAAATCGGAGGGCATTTTGCTCACTTGTGCTGAAATATTTCGCGAATTCGAAAGTAATTCGGATGACAGTGAAGTACCGAAGCTATCAAATGACCTCGAAAGGTAATTTTACATTTAATAACACTATTGCTCCATTTGTATTGAAAGGAAAATTTGATTATGCGATGTGGTTGGGAAGAATATAGCTTTCATCGTAACGGCTACTGAGTGGGGTTGAAATGAGATGGCTCAGTTTTAATTTCAATTTCAATCCTCGTTTTCTTCTTTTGCGATTAGTTACTCCTTGGTCGTACTTTGAAATTGTTGAGAACATTCGTTTGGGGTTTAGCAATGAAGATAAGTGGCTGAAAGTTGTGGCAGATGTAGCTAGAAGTTTTAAAATTCTATTGGATAAGACTCCACTGCACAAGTAAAATACTTTTTTTAAGGGAATCTTAGCTACACACGGGCTTCGCTAAATAAATTAATTGGTCTCAGGGGAAGAAAACGCATTCTCATCTTTTTTCTTTCAGAGCTGTGAGGAAGATATTTATGACTTACATTCCTGCAATAAACCCCGAACCACCAAGGCTTTCGAAGTCTGCACTATATGCAATCTCCGGTACCGATCAAATTTAGACTTCCGGTGAATAAAAGATGAATTACTACTTTGGGCCATGAAAGAATTTTATACTTCGAGCTTGATTCGCTTGCTTTCTTGGAGTAATTTTATATCCCTTTTCATTTTAATCCCATCGTGGTGAAACAAACCTTGCTTAATGCTTTTTAGCTATCGCATTTTGAGATAATGAAATTCGATTGAACTCCACTTAAATTATGTTGGGTATTCGTAGGAGTTTAGGTTTAGTCTTATTAAGGAGACAATTTCTTGGATTATGAAATAAACTATTTTTGGTGCTTTTGTCTCCTAAATTTGCTAAGTGGAGTTCAATGGTTTAGAACAGGACTAGACTAACCAATTGAGTACTATGCACAGAGAGGCAGAAAAGAGCACAATTAGAAAATGCTTCTTCTTGACTACATTTTATTAGATTGGACAAGTTACAACGATTTAGGTCAATAAATGAGAGCCTTTTTGATGGAAGGCAGTCAATAGTACTTAAGTCGCTGTATCGGAAAAAAAATTTACCATGTGATCCGATACTGAAAGCGCGGAGGCCAGTGTTAGGCCTTTCAACTTGTTTTCCTCTGCTTCTATTCTTGGAGTCTTATGGGAGTGCATTTCAATTTGGGCAGTTAACAAGCGTTAATCCAAAGGGTCTAAATGCGATAGAATTAGAGACTGTCTGAATGAAGTAATCATAAGGCAAATAGATCAAAGTGTAAATCGGCTGCTCTCCAAATGCTCCTTTATTGTATTTGTCTTTCACGGTAGAAATTTCTTCAAATAAATGGCAGAATTGTTTTGTTTTCCGTCATAGTGCAAAGCTTGAGAGGTTGTGGAGGAGTTGAGTAAGGACTGTTTTATCATGGCTAAAAAAGCTGCGTAATTGGTAGACTTTGGAGGAAGTGCTAATTTCTGAGTGCCACTGGTCATTTGGCATTTGAATGGATTAAGATGGTATGACATAAATAGAACTTGGTAATATGAACTTTCTTTCGATGACAAAGCTGCAGGAGCTAACGAAAATAATAAATATTTATTCATATTTATAGCAAGCCAAGGATGTGAGATAGACCTACCTCCACGTGGTGCACCCTGGGCAAC